TATATATATAGTATAAAGTGGAAAGAGATGCTGATACATACTACAGGTGTAGTGGCAGGTGTGAAGTCATCAGTCTTGGTCCTTTCTGGTGAGCTTAGAGACATGGAGCTGACTGATGAAGGTGATTGTGTTGAACCGTTTTCCAAAATGGAAACATTTCCAAACTCTTTCTGCTTATCCGACTCGCCATCAGGATCCTGCGTTTTTGCGAGCTCCGAGTTGTATCTCGTACAATCTTTATTTTTTATCTTCTGCACTTCGTTAGCTACGACGACACAGTCCACAGAGAGTGTTTTAGCAGCATTATCACCACTAACGTGTTTCCCAGAATGGCTCGTTCTGTCCTTGTGGTGAAGCTTGTCGTTCGATGGGAAACAGGGGGAGACAGGAGGAGAGACCAGGCACTTTATGGGGGACGAGCTCTTGTCGTCAGTCAGGTCRATAACCACGTTCTCATCTGAAGGAGCTGGGCGTTTGCGGCTCAGGAAGCAGTCCAGCGGGCCACGGCCGTTAACCAAAGGTGGTCTGCTGCGTTCAGACAGAGGAGACGACTCATCGTTGTCCGTCTGCCTGCTGGGGGCTTCAGGCTCAGGGCAGGTATGGGCACACGGGCGCTTAGGAGGCTGGTTTTCTTTTGGTTCAATGTTCAGACGCTTGAAAGGGAGACGAGCTGCAGAGGGGAAAGATTAAATTCAGTCTTAAAAAGCAAAACCTTTGTGGCTGCACTAACATGTTATAACGTCTAACACAGGGGTCTGCAACCTGCGGCTCTGGGGCCACATGTGGCTCTTTGGTCCCTCTGCACTGGCTCTTTGAAACTGTGACCAAACATAACAAATTTTTTTTGTTTGGTTTATACTCACAACACTAATAAATTGTATGCAAATATGTGATCAATGCCACTAATACAAAAATACTAATACAAAAAATAAAACGTTAGCTCATGCTAGCCTGTTTTCTACATAAATAATCTATGATCGTTCTCTCAAATCCATCAGGATTACCTTTAAACACCTTTAGGACTACATAATAAGAAGAATTAGAAAAAAATAAATGTCTGACTAGGTCAGCTGTACTGGTTTTTATGAAATTATATATAAACTATAGCCAGGATTTTTCCTTGTGCACGAATGTTTTTTTTTCTTAACTCAACTCAACTTTATTTATAAAGCCCTTTAAGAAAACCACAGATGCAACAAAGTCCTGTACATATTTAAATTCAAAAAACATAAAAGCATGACAATGATTAAAAACACTAAAACCAGTAATAACACAATAAAAATAAAATAAAAATAGAAGAAAAAAGTCTCAGGCTGTGCCAAAAGCCAGAGAGTAAAAGTTTTTCTTCAGTCCTGAAGTGTAAAAATAATAATAAAATTCACAATATATTTTTTAGTTTTACAATGTCACCTCCACTGGCCATACA